TGAAGCAACCTCAAAAAGGAGCAAGGGGCAGGAATGAAAGGCCAAGTGTTTCTCCAACTTTCATCATTTCATGGGTGGTCAGGGTAGTCTCCTTTATAGGGGGAGGGGCTGTGCTTTACTTCCCAGTCCCACACCTCACCCCCACCACGTTACTAAGAAGTAGGATCCACATCGTCTTGAGCTTTGTAACTCAGTACAAGGGGTAGCCAGCCCCCTCTGTTTCCCCCTGCCTCCAGAGAGAGCTGATACCTTGTGCAACATCCCCAGATTCTAGCATAACAGGATGCTAATGAGACACTTCCTGCCTTGGTAACTGACACCAAAGTGGATTCGAGGCACTTGGAGGCAGAATTCGCAAAGGAACTGGCTGAGAACTGGACCCATGTCCTTCGAAATGCCTGATTCACCTTGAGACTTTAAGAGGTCCCCAGGAGGAGAGAGCAAGGAAGGACTTACAAAGAACTTTTTTTGGGGAAGTGTTGCCATGCTACCACCCCACCAACGGCTTCCACAGAGCCACTTGGAGAGCTTGAGCTTTGTTTCCTTTAGGAGGATGGCTCAGAGGACAAGGCCTGACTCTTGCCAGGGAAGGAGAAAGCAACCTGCTGCTGCAGGATGTAGGCGGCATTTGGTTCCACCTGTACACCCAGGGAACAAGGGATCATGAGTGCTCCCTGTGGACCAGGCAGAGGCAGCACAGAAGAAAGCCTATGTGGGGAGCATTAAGTCTTGTCAACAGGGCCTTCTGCAGAGGCAGAGGGACCCCCAACAATACAAAGCTCCTTCCTAGAGAAAGAAGTTGCTTCTACCAGCTGGAGCAGAGGTATGTTTGTTCATGCCATGGAAACTGCAGAGAAAGGAATCTCCAAGAACCCACAGAGGTATCCAAGAAAGAAAGTCCAGTATCAGCGCTGAACATTCCCAGGTCCCAAGAGCACAAAGCCAACAGCAAGCAAAGTTCCCTGCCATTCCCCTCACCCACCCCTTCCACCTGGGCAGCAGAGGAGATATGAAATCTCAACAAACTCCAGCTCTCACCCCATTCTTCCAGCCTGAACTTGGCCAGATCAAGTCCAAAGTTTTAATTTCTAGCTCAAACTGGACATGCTATTTTTCAATTGAGCTTCTGACTACAGTCTAAAATGACCAAAAGATTGTTACTCGGTCATGAACAAAAAAATTTTGCATGGCTGAGTTCTCCTCTAAAGCAGTGAGGCTCACCCTTGGTTACTCACTGGAATCACTGGGGAATCCTAAAAACAAAAAATGCCAAAGCCTAAGTCTCATCTGGGAGCCACTGAACCAGAATTGATAAAGGCAGGCAACAGAATGTGTTTTAAAAAATGTAATCAAATAAAATAATAGTTTTCTCTAATGTGCAACAAGGTGCTGGAAGCTACTGCTCTGGGAGCCCAGGAAGACTCCTCCTAGTGAGTCCATTGTAAAGAGACAACGGAAAACAAAAATAAAAGAAAACTATCACAGTTTGATTGTCACAAGTTATACTCTTCAGTGTGCTAGAAAGTTGTACACTACGGCGCTCTAGATTTCATACTGAAGCTGAAAGTTGCTTTAAATACAACCCCAAACTAACCAGACCTCAGTTACGTTCTTAAATGTGGGATCCAAAATGATCAATGTAGTGTCTGGAGTCTGAGAAAGTCTTTTCTCCCTTTCTCAGCTACTAGCCAGGTTTCCAGTGATTAACAGATGAGGAAGGCATTGGCTTGGTGTCTGCGGTCCTGCTGCCATTTAAAGATCTGATAGCACCTGTCCTTCCACATTAGCGCCCCGCTGGGGCAGTGGTGGAGTCTGCATGGCCCCAGCACTCTCAAAAGACATTACTGGGGATCTTGGTTTGTTGGGCCTCTCCCCTTTAATGCCTGCCTCCCATCCTCAGGCTTTGGGAAAGGCACCCCCTTGGCCTGGGCTGATGCTGGGTCAAAGTCTGTCTGTTCCACCCATCCTCCAAGGGGGTATCAGAGCATCTGCCACCCTGTCCCAGTGTCCCAGTGTAGCACACCATGAGGCAGTAAAGGCTATCAGGACTGTCATTACATCCAATCAGACCCTCCTCTTCCATCCTCACCAATTTTTGTTTTAGGGATTTTTGGTCAACTTGTTTTTATTTATGCTTCAATTTTTTTTGAAATTCTTCATTCTCTGTTTTCAAAAATGAGTTTCTAAGCAAAGTGGCCATTGCATGGAAATCTCAGTTCTAAGCTGAATGAGGTGCACGCACTCTAAGGGACCCCAGAGCTGTCACATGAACTCTTCCAGGTCTGTGGAAATGCAACCGGCGTCAGGGAGAGCCCAGGAAACTTCTAAACCAGGAAATTTGCAATGTAAAAAAAGGGGGAGGAGGATCTCAGCGAAACTACTGGGGGAAAAGTAACTGAAACTTCTTACCAAAAAAATTCGTGAAAGCTAAACTTCTTCATCAGTTGCTATGGGATGACAGCAGACATACTGCTGGAATATAAGGCCAAACTTAACCTGTTGTTCTCAATATGAAATGTATCTTTAGGCCAGAATTTTTTTCTTCTTTTGCTATTTGTTTATTTTCCTTTGGTTTTAAAGGAGGGCAAGAGAGAAAAGGAGCAATTCTAAGAAAAGTCATTATCTGTATGCTATGGCTATGGGTCTCACCGATACCTACAAAGATTCTACCCAAGCCAAGTAGGGTCAATATCTAATTGGTCCCACTGGTTTATGGCCCAGTAGGGCCATTCACATCCACCATCCCCCTGCGCCAAGTCTCCTTTATTTCCACTTTCGTTTATTACTCCCTGAATAGCTGGTACTTGAGTACATAGTTAAAGAAAAAAATCATTCTTTTCTAAAAGCAGATATTTGTATTTTAAAAACCTAGCAAAAATGAATAAATGAACAAGAGAGAAAGAGAGGAAAAACATCTCTATAAAATTTAGCTTCATTTTTATTTTATACAAGAAATAAATTATTTCTTTTAAAGGGAATATTTGAGAGACTCCAAGTTATTCTTATGCCAGAAAACAATTTTTTCCCATCACTAGCTAAGTTAAAATGAACAGATATCAATAAAAATTAGGCCACATGGATAAAAGGAGTTGAGCTCTACCAAATATTAGTGCCATATAGAAATGTTCAAGAGAAAATACATCAAAATCCTACCTAAAACAGAAGCTACTGGCTTTATACTGACAGTAAGTACTGCGTATATATCAAAGGACACAGATCACTTCTGATAGCTTTTAACTCTAGACCTTCACCCTGAATCGAGTTTCACCCTGACAGTTTCAAAAGGCCATTGACGAAATGCAAATGAAGTCCAAAGTTTAATTACTAGTAATGTACCAAGGTAAGTCTCTTAGTAGTAACAAAGGTACTGCAGCAAGATGTTAACAGTGGGGGGTGGGGTGACACTAGGAACTCTCTGTACTACCTTTGCAACATCTCTGCAAGTCTAATACTATTCGCAAATAAAAAGTTTATTTAAGAAGGCACAAAAAGCCGTTGTCCCAAATCAGAGTCTCCAGATTTAACTATGAAGCTGTTATTCCCTCAAAGATGCAGGAGGAAATACAGTAATATAGAGACTTACCACAGCAACCATAGCCAAGCAGCTAAACTCTCAATTAAGAGAAAGATTTAATGCAAAAGACAACAGCTGCCAGGGGTGTCTGAGTATCGCATCCAAACATAGCTTGTTTTATATGTTCCTGAAGGGCTGTTTGTAAATCAAACTTACATAATTCAAATCACATTTTGAAAACACTAATGGAGCCTGTACATTTAAAGAGATGTTTAGTAAATAGCAGGATAATAGGAACTTATTTTGTAATGAGAAGTATTGCATTCTCATTTACTGTCTGGCAAAGGTGGCTTCACACGGGTCACCTTTGTCCATGGTGCACCCTGTGAGCCACATAGCTACGTGTTGCCCAAGCAGCCCCTGCCCCACAGGTCTCCGGGTTTCTATCTTCCCTTCTCTCTACCAAGTCATCTCTGTGCGACTTGGACTAATTCAGAACTATTAGAGTGAGGAACTCTATTCATGTATAGGTCCCAACATCCAAATACAGGCCTCAGCTCGCACCGTGGTAGCAAGCATTTGGGCAACAAGATTGAGCAGGTAAGAATACTCTACTGTAGGACATTATCTGAAGCAGGTGAACGCAGGACAATTGTCCCACTGTTACTGAAGCTCACGGTGACTCTCTCCTGCTGGCCACATAGGGGAACCCTGATGCTAGCAATCCTTCCCCAATCCAAACGCAAGATAGATACTATTACCACTCCCAGAAAAACAACTCAGGATCTGACAAGGCGATAGTCAACTCAGTTAGCCTAGGTAAGCAAAACAGTCCAGAACACTGGTTTCCCGCCCATGGATAAGAAAGCAGGATTCTCCATTCCAATGGATAAGGGGCTAGAAAATAAATCCTAAATATTTCATAAGCCAACCAAACACAGTTCATTTGCTCATGAGTTTTACCATCACGGTTACAAAATCTCATTAAACACTTGTGATGATGATAATAATCCTTTTCTCATGAAATATGCAAGCATGCTACAGTAATTAGTAATCCTGTATATATCAGATTACTATTCAAAATTATTCACTCCCCTCCTCACCTTCTTAGGAGGAGTACAGTTCTCTGCCCCTCAACTTGGCTTTGGCCCAAAGACTTGCTTTGTTAGCCAGTGGCATATAGACTGAAGAACCCTGAACTTAGCCCTTAAGAAGCCTCACGAACATATTTCCAGTTGCCCTCTTTCATTCTGTGCTTGCATAAGAAGCAGATCTCCTACATACCTGCTGCTTCTTCACCTTGCATCCCAGAACAAATACATATGGAACAAAACCACTCCAGTTGACCTACAGACCCATGAGTAAGACCACATAATGGAGTTTTAAGACACTCGTTTTGTAGATGGTTTATTGTACACATGATTTTGTCAGTAGTTGAATGCTAGACCCTATCCTCTCCCCACATGCAAAAGCATCAGGTACTCACCATCATCAATTCCAGGCCAGCCCATGAAGTGAGCAGAAATCTGTTTCTCGTCCTTCCCATACTCATTCTTGGCTATGAGAGTGTAGTCCCCATTGTTCATGTGGGTGGGATTATCCAGCTGGAGGCAGCCATGGTACTCCGTGTGATTGGTAACATGTATTTTAGTACAGATGTATTTGGATTCATTCAATATTGCCCCGTTATAGAACCACTGAAGCGCTGGTTTGGGGTTGCCTTTCACAGTGAATGGAATGCACCAGTGGTGGTCTGAGGTTGGAGATTCGAGAAATGTGATAGTTGGTGCAACTAAATTGAAAAAGAGAGAGTTAATAGCATCAGAAAGCTCAGAATTCTCTCCATCTCCAGATTTCTGTGCCATTGATATGGGATTTTGTTCAACCATTGTTTGGTTTAAGAAAACACAGGACCAGCAACTTTGGAATTCATCAATATTTGTATCACCATCAAGGTGGATATAACTCCCTACAGAAGGCTTCAGAGAGACTCCTTCCTCTGCTCTACTGAAGACTCATGCTTCACAGTCATTTTTCAAATCTATTCAGTGTAAATAAGAACCAGCTCCAAACAGATCCAAGAGATTTCTGATAATGGAAAAAGTTCATTTGAGTTGACTTTGGTTTCTAACATATGTATCTTGATATTATGTAGATTCATCAAAAAAAGAAGGACATTATTTTTATAGTACTTCTTCCCTAAATAATACAAATAATAGAAATGACTTTGCAAATTTTACCTGAAGCCCTAATCTCACATAACTTTTCTAAAACAGATCAAATTTATCAATGTAATGAATATCACTGCTGCTGATGATAATTATTATAAAGTATGATAAACTAATATTTTTTATTGATCGTCATAGCAAATACTCTTTAAAGCATCACATTTCATTAGGGTATGGTCCATTTTTGCTAGGATCCTAGATGCCAATGTTTTGACCCTTTAAATGTCTAGGGTCCAGTCTAAGCCTGGACAAACAGACTAGAAATTATTCCAACTTTAAGTACAAAGCACTTTATACTTTGGGGAAACAAACATTATCGTGTAGTGTCTTTTAACAGAGTACTTATCCTGAATGAAAGTATTTAAAATCCCTCATCGCTGGTTTAATGTGGCCTAACTTTGATAATTATAAAATCAGGGACTGGAAAAGACCTTTGAGATCTAACAGCATCATTTTTCAGATGAGGAAACCAAACTCCAATAAGGTTAAGTGAGTCGGTCAAGATTACTGACTGAGGCAGATCTGGAGCAAGAATCCTGGTCTGGTGCTTCCTGTAGTAGCCCTTCCTTCTCATACCCACCTCCAGATTGTACATGTTCATCACACAAAAAGAGTAAAAAACATACGGCATCGTAGCCTGGGAACACACAAACACTCTGAGTAGGGTCCCTGCAGTGGTTATCTTGGTTGTTAGTATCCTTTATCATTTATTCCTTCTACTCTTTATCTAAACTTTGACAGATAATAACAATTTTTAGACCATGATGACCACGCAGATATTAACCTAAACTGAGAAAACACCCAAGTATGGGTGTCCTTAATAGAAAGCAGATAATCTGACATTATACCCTCTTATTTGTGCTCAGGCAAATCCTCTCAGAATACTACCCAAGAAGCAGCAAAGCTGATAAAATTGCCTAAGTCACCTTTATATCTACAGAAAGATTTCCAGTTACCAGTGAAATTCCTCATAGCTGAGCACGTGGCATTGCTGAACTCTGCAATGTGTATTGTAACAGAGTTCCTTGCTTTTAAGAAATCTAATATTACTAAATTTTAAATTTGCAAAGTTTAGCTGTTTGCCTTATCAAATATTTCTCAAGGCCTCCTTAAAATAGTATTTGAAAAGTAAAATAGCTTTTAATGCATGATTTCACGTATAAAAATTCAATTTAGATACAATTTGGGAAGACTCTATATCAGTTACACAAAATAAGGTGCATTTCTGTATAGATGCACATATGGAAGGTCGGTGTTACAAACCAACCACAGCAAGGACCACGGTGGGGTAGGAGCCAACACTTACCTTCCTCCCACCAGCCCAGGCCCCTATGCCCTGGGCCCACTTATTCCTTCTACCATGCTCAAATGACTTTTGGGTGAGGTGCCGATTGAAGGACATAAAGTTGAAAGTGGGTGCATATGTTTGGGGATAACATTGACTTCAGGTTTCTGGATGGGTCAAAATGATGAGAAATTATGAGTCCAGTACCCACTGGACATAGTGCTGGTACTAACAGTGACAGAGGATTATAGTTGGTTATTTCAATCATTCACTCCAACAATCAAACACTAAATGTGTGCTACAAGTGAGTGTTAACCAGTATATGGGCATCATCTAGGCTATGGTCTACACGTGTGTATTTGTACACATACTTACACACATGCCAATTCATGTTTTTCTCATTCAAATCCTAATCCAAACAGAGTAAAACCTCATTAATTTATACCATGCCAGCTCAGAATTTGCAATGATATGAGTGTCTGTGTGTGTTTCACTGAAAACACATTCACACTGAATGCCACAATCTGAAATTTTAAGGTATATGTTGTATTACTTATAATACTGGAAAATAATGTACTTAATGCTTAACTAAGAAGCATTGATATCTTTTATCTTAGTTTCAATGTATACAGAAATTTAAAACAATTAGTAATAATTCCAGTTTTCTGCAGGTGATAATGATTTTCAATAATTTAAGTAGGACTCCTACCTCCTCACAGAAACTTGATGTCAAACTAATGAGGTTTTATTGTGTTAACAGTACAATTAGATGTTTGTGAACAGCCAAAAAATATTTTAGGCATCATAAGCTTAAAGCATCATATTCATTTTATAAAGGAAATTTTTTAGAAACTGGTTTAGGAGAATTTAAGCTAAAAGATTAAAAAGAGGGAACAACCAGCTCAAAATATGTTCTATCAGAAAAAGAAGGCACAAAATGACAAGCTCAAAATTGAAAAAGAAACTTAAAAGAAAGATAATGCATGAGCAAGAGATATTAAGTAGAAATCAAACAAATGAAAGATTGCTTTGTAATTAAGTATGCATGAAACACTGCATATACTTTTTTAACAAACTTAAGCAACACCCAGAGTGCCCCAGCAAGAAATGTAGGCGTGTTCACGATCATTTGCTATTAAAAACACATGCTAGTCTGATTACGTACAATGCACAGTGAGGTTGACAGAATCTTGATCTTCTCCTACAAGATTTTCTGCCACACAAGAGATTTGCTTTCCACTGTCATCAGATGAAATGTTAGTTATCCTTAAGAAGCCCTGTGTGTTGCTTGTTTCATTCTACAAATGAATTAACAGACAAAAACAATCTTGATTAAGATTGATCCCAAAGTGACAAGATTTGGGGTTTCTTCTCCTAACTAGAGAAAAAACATATACAACATTAGAAAAGCTTTCCTGCCTGAGTCGGGTTCAGGCAAAGAAGTAAATCAGAAGTTATTCTATTTCTCTAGGTTTCAACTGCTTAGTGTGTGAGGTTGACTTAATCCTCCAATTCCTACCTACCTTCCTCCAAGGGAAGAGACCACAGGGAGAGTCACTCAATTTGCTCACGATGGCACAAAGAGCTCACTAGGGATATAAAGACTCTCCAATCTATTGGGTATGCAATAAACTAAAATGCAAAACCTGCCTTTGTTAATTAAGAATAAATAGAAAGAACATGTGCATCAAAACTCTTCATAAATTTCTATACGTGGCCCTATAAAATATCAATCATCGCTAGGTTTAATATATTCTCAAGTTCTGAAACAGTCTCATTGTCTCCCTATTAAGACAGAGACAAACACAAGCCTTACCATATGTTTGGAAACCAGATTACCAACATCCCAGTACATAATCGGAACCGGATCGCCTGCCACACTACAAGATAATGTGATAGACTTTCCCTCCTCCACGGTGAGGTTAGGTGCCGCCAAGCTTGCAGATGGCATACCTGTGAACAAGACAGGTAAACAGAGACATATACAAATAGTTAAATGCAGTATCAAAAGAATAACAACAAATTGAAAACTCTTTATGCTTTAAAATTAATCATTATTTACTTTCTGAGACTGATTGATGTTGATCTGAAAAAGTGCCAGGTTGATAAGCTTTATAGATTTAATGTGAACCAAAAAAGTGCTGTCATTAGATTTGAAAATCAATACGCACATTTCTGGAAAGTAGTATTGCAGAATAACCTTTTATTTAAAAAAGCACTAGTATATAGCAGTATCTTCCACCTCTTTTTCTGTTCAATAGTTACTAATCCAGTTTTTGTGCATAAATAGGCATTGTACCCGTGGGCTGACATTGTATGTCTTTTATGTCCCCCGACTTCCCTCCTCCCTCTCTGTCTCCTCCCCTCCACTTTTTTATACTCATAAATACAAAAGGGTAAGAGACGCATCTATAATTTTTTGTAAAAATCTTTTTTTTGCATTAAATAACTCTAACATACTACCAGATCTCGATTTTGAAAGAGTCAGACTATTGAAGAAAATGTACTTTCAAAGCATTTTTCAAAGACATGAAGCGTGAACTATTACAGTGTTAGAATGTTTCAAAGTTATATAAATCATGGTTAAATATTTATTATAGGTAAAATTGGTCACCCTATTTAAAATATGAGGAAAAAAGCAAATGAATTCTTACTCCAGTGAGAAGTTCTTTTTATTGGAAAACCCTGAGAATGTATTTGTTATCAGATGAAATTTTGAACCTTATAAACATTTTTAAATATTTCAACAGAACATTGTTTTTATACCTTCATATTTCAAAAGCCGTGTGTTCATTTATCAATGCTGCTATCCCTTCATTAAACCATCACACCTATTGAATGTGTACACTGCTTTAAACTACATAGGAATCATAGTATCTCTGACATGTAGATGGGTCTCAGAGAGTACACCAACATGTCAGGTGCTGCTAGTTGAGACTGTCCCTCACTTGGTATCAGAAACTCTGCCTGGGACTGTATTCACCCCAATAGCTAGTGTCCCAAAGATATGATACATCATTAACTCAGAAGTAACCTGGAGGTCAGAAAAAGCAATTCATCTTTAACAGCTATTAAACTGTAATTAACCCACCCATCTGACAGTATCTGACCCATCATTTTCACAATACTATGCATGAACCCTTCTCTTATGATGCAGTCCTTACTGGCAAAGCCATCATTCTTTACCACAGAAAGCATGCTTGAACAACATTTGTACAGTCTGTCTCACGGTATTCCCACTGTTGGGAGAGGACTGCCCAACAAGATCTGGCTTTCAGGAGCTAGTGAGACCCCCTTCAGAACTCTTCCTGATCATGAGCACCCGATAAAGAGCACTGTTACATCTTTCACAGGGTTTCAAAAAGGCCCCTAATGCCCAGAGTTTTACAGGGCAGTGAAATATATAACCACGATTAACAGAGAGTGCACACATGTACTCATCATCAAATTGGTATTAACTGATCCACACGTATATGCATATATGGTAGTAACATTCATCGGGTGTCAGGCAGGTGAGAGGGGGAAGGAGGGGATGGGTATAGTCACATCTAATGGGGGTGGTGTGCACCGTCTGGGTGACGGACGTGCTTGTGGCTCTGACTCGGGTGGGGCAAAGGCAATATATGTAACCTAAACATTTGTAGCCCTATAATATTCTGAAATTTAAATAAATAAATAAAATCTCTAAGGAAGCTTAAAAGAGAGAGAGTGCAGTAAATAGGAATTAGCCCTGGATCCTATACCTGACACACACTAACTGTGTGGCTTTGGATGAGTCATTTTTTTCCTCTCTTAATTTCTGTGACAATTAAGCTTTCTAATTTATTAAGAAGCATGTCAAGGCAAGATATAAGAAACAGGCTTACTTAGTGAAAAAATCTCCTTGAAGTCAGTAGTATGCTCTGGGTGACTTTTTAAAAATATATATCTCATTTTTGTTTTTATTAATCAAATATACAGTCACATATTTGAAGAGTCTATAATTCTACAAAACTTATGAAAAATATTCAGATTATTGTGTGAAAAACAGTAGTCCTCCCCCCTTACTCCTCCCCCCTGGACCTATTACTTGTTCCAAAAGACACCCAATTCATCTCTTTTAACTGTTTTTGGTATTGATCTCCACTAAACTGATCATCACTAAATATCATGCTTATATTGCTACTTCTTGGTTTTTCTGTTTCAGCATTATTGACTGACCTCCCACCGTGGAAGATGAGAAACAGGCTCACTTTCACAAAATGTCAGCCCTTCCACATACTACACACACTCAGCACACTCTCTCCTTACAGCTTTCCATGTGCTATGAAGCTACTTTGTCCAGATCGAAGATACAAAGTTTGTTAGAAGCATATAAGCCCTACCAACAGCAGAACCACGTAATCTGTAATAGTTATATCTCATCAAATTTAAGACAGTATTAATTATTGAATGCAACAATGTTATATGTACTACCAAGAAAAAAGAACGATGCCAATTCAACCATGATGAATCACTTTCTTACCACTTAGAACTCCTATTATTTGGATGTTGGACCTTCTAAATAGCCCATCGAACTTTCTAATCTTTCGTCTCCTATTTTCTTTCTTTTTGTCTATTTTTTCTATTTACAGGGAGGTTTCTCCAGATTTATCTTCCAAAACTTCTGAGGTTTTTTATTCTTCTGTCATAGTTATAATTTCCAAGACTTTTGTTTTTGTTGTTCCTGAATGTTCTTTTTTATAGAAAAGTTACCAACTTGCAATTTTTTGTGTTTAGTTGAGTCTCTCCCATTTTCTTTGTATTTATGGATTTATCTGCTGACCCTGAGGTGACCATCAGGGCCAGGGCCTATTATGGTGCTTATTCTCAAGGTATGATTCCCCCCCATAGCCAGACTCCACCAATGGAGCTTAAAGACACCCCTCTTGGCACCTCAAGTACAAACCTATTGGATGAATTTCCTGTCTTTTATAAATGTATCTAATAGTCTGGAAATTCTGACCACAGAAAGGTTAAAACAAAGAGATTCTCAGTAGGGAATGCTATGTCATTATCTTAATTTTTCTAATAAAATCTACTGTAGTTTTTTTTTCCTTCAAGCTTAAGTTTATATAATGAAGAGCTCTAAAATGTTTAATTACAGTAATAATAGATATTAGCATTTATTGGGCAATTACCACACCAGATGCTCTTATCTAGTACTTTATTGTTTTATTTAATCCTTACAACCTATCTTGAAGGTAAATATTTTGTCCTCATTTCATTAATGAAATACACAAGTTTTAGAAAAGTCAAATACTTTTCCAAATTTAGGAAATACATCTTCCTAAATTGCCCAAATACATGTGGACCTGAGATTTGAACCCAAAGGTCAGGGTCTCACCACTGCCTTCTGGGCTGCACATATCCATTTTAGCACAGACCGTAAATACCGCTGTGTATCCATGGTCTAGGAATTTGGGTCATTTAAAAAATACTTACATGTCTATTCTGTGAGAAAAGAGTGAGTCTCCTTTATTTATAGAGAAATTGTATCACCTTGTCATAGCAGTTTCCAAAGGAATCTGTGCAAAATTGGCCAAGTCTAGATCTTTTAAATGTAAAGTCTTCCACAAATGACTAAGCATCTGACTCACGTTAATGCTACAGCGTTAATATGCTGGCCAAAGATTCAATAATGGAAAAAACAATCTGTACTTGAAATATCACTTGAGGTTTAATTAGCACAATAAAAATGAATTGGGAAGCATGAACAGCCAAGGCGGAATAAACCATTTGCCAGGCACTACTTCCTGGCATAATAAGATTTGAAATCAGCACAAGTACAGAGCAACGCCCAGCGATGCTTTCAAGTGCTGCTAGCACTACTGCAATGGGATCCGGATTCAAAGCACCACGGCTGTCTTCCTTTGGGCAATCTCCTTGCAGGTAAGAGATGACCGGCTTCCCAGGCAGAAGGACACCTCTGTGTCAATGTCTCTTGATCTGGATTCATTCATGAAAGACATACTAGCCTGCAGACCTCAACAGAAAATCATTCACCACACCGTGAGAAAGCTGACTTTCTTTAGACCAGGGCTTGCCAAACTTTAATGTGTTTATGAATCACCAGGGGGGTCTTGTTAATAATGTAGCTTCTTTTCCAGTAGCTCTGGGTTGGGGCCTGAGAATTTGCATTTCTAACAAACCCCCCTGTTCCCTGACACATTTGGAGTGGCAGGAGTTTATATAATGGGTGTTAGACAATTGTTCACTGGGTTTTTGTCTCTACAACTATTATTCTTAAATCTGACATGGACCTGAGTAGCTATCTAGTCCACCAAACTTCCCCCAAAGTATGTTCTGCGGAACTCTAATTCCTTAAGATGCTCTAAGGAAAAAAAATTCCAAGATTATTAAAAAAAAAAAAAAAAACACCTGTGGGGAACTATAGCTGTTCACAATGCACATTAACGTATTAAAAGCTCTGAGAAGTCCTGCTATAAAGAAATTCATTTAACTTCCATTGATCTTATATTCCCCAAGCTTATTTGAGTACATAATCATTTCTTTGAGTTATGATGTCTGTTGTGATGTTTGCTATTTTTATTTGAAGCAATTTAACAAACTATAAGACGTATATACTGAAATTCAGATAAAAAATATATTTAAAGCAAACTATTCTTATTGATCATCATAATAACATTAATAGCTAATATTCACTGGGTACCTGATATGTGTTAGACTCCATTTTAAATATTTTCCATTTATCATCTCATTAGTCATCCCAAAAATCCTAGAAAGTAGGTGCCATTAGTATCCCTGTTTCCAGATAAAGACATTAAAGCTTAAGTGTCACAACTGAACAGCTAATAAGTGGAAGCTGGCCCTGAGCCACACTTGTCTGTCCACGGCTTGACCAACACATTATTGGCTGCCTTCTTTGCTGGAATCTCCCATGTCTCTGCTCCCACCCATCAGTGTACACTTCC